CACTTTTTGGGTGCAAAGTGCAAACTGACATCGTGTAGATATGTGTGTGTTCTGCGGTCAATAGACCTTCTACTGAATATCATGTTCCCTGCTGCGCTGGTCAGTTTCCATTAAGTCTCCCGGCTGTTGATTTGAGAAACGTTATAATGCAGCTGTTATGAGGAGAAGCAAAAAAAAAAGAGGACGTGTTTTTAAACATGCAGTTAAAGAAGGAAAAATGGAAAGTCTGACAAGTGTTCTCATCCAGTTACATCCCCATGAAGTCATGGAGCTGCAGATACAGTTACTTTTCCTCTGGTTTCTTGAAGAGGATAATGTATTGTCCTTTGATGCCCCCCCCCCTTCATTCTCATCTCTGAGCACGGGCTCAGTGCAGTCTGTGGAGCGTGGTTAGATGAGGCCGAGTTCAGATAAGATGTAAATGTGACACACCAACAAAGCTCGCACACAGAAACATGAAGAGGTGTCAGAGGCGGAATCAGCTCACCGCGGGGGGTGCCGGGATGATTGATGGGTGCATTGTGGCAAAGGGATGTAGTGGGGCACAGTTTGTTGCAGGCAGTTGAACAGATTTCTACGGCCCCTGGTGAACATGAATGTTCTCAGGTGTCATTAAACGCAAAACTGGAATACAAAAAATGTCCGCTGCTGCACCATTTTCCAGCTCCCATTACGCGACAGCCCTCCCCCCCCCTCTTTTGTGGCCTCAAAATAAGCTGAAAACTGCTTGTGGTGATATGCCTGCATGGAAAAAAACTTAAGTATAGTTGGAGGGGTGGAGGCCATACAGCAGAATTGACCCAACGACTGCTCCCACCCATATGGGTCATTTAAACAAGATCCATTTCATTCTGTTCACACACTCACAGGCTCACCTTCTCATCCTCCCTACACTCACTCTCAGCTTGTGCTCATTCAAGCAATCCACTGTACGACACAAGTCATTTAGTTTTATGGCACTCCTCAATTTCAAATCTCCACACATCGCATTAACCAAAAACCGATTGAGATCTCAGCCTTGTGTTTATAATGCCACTCTGCAGCCTTATTACATAATAATTACCCAGTAATTGGAAATGTTCATAATGTGCCAGTTTAATTGCAATAAACGGGATGATTCCAGAGCTCAAGGACCCGCTGTGCAATCACAGGAGCCAAAGCAGCTCTGCTGCTGTTTCTGTCTTCGTGCATTTCACAGAACTCAGCTTTTTAAACATTTTTTGTTTGTTTTTTCGTTTGTTTTTGGCGTACACCCTAATAGGAGTTGACTGTTTCCAGTTTCCCCTAATTTCCCACAAGTCTCCTAATTGTTTTAATCAATCTCCTTAGATTAGTTAAGAGATTAATTTAGTGTTGTGTATCTCTTTTTGTTATTTACGTTTTGATTGGCAAACAGGCTTCTTTAACGCTTGTTTTAAAGTCACTCTAAAGCTGTTTTATTTGTTGGCATACAACAAAAAGGACAATTGCAAAGGTATCTTTTTTTCCATCAGTCTCCCCATCTAGCCTGATTCACACGGGTTACATCTAAACAAGGGCACGGTATAGTTTCTGTTTAGAGTTGGGGGGGTGGCTGTAAATGGCCCTCTGTCTACTGGAGGTCTGCCGGTGTTTCCATCACCAGATTGAGGCCATCTGTCCCCTTCCTCCGATTCCCTCCCTTTTGCGTCTCAGACCTGCTGAAATGTAAATGCACTGAGGAGACAACGCCAGGAATCTTTTTTTTTTTCTCCCCGCAGTCTGAAATGTTGTGGCTGAATATTTCACAGCAGATTTCAGAATTCTGCATTCGGTTGTTGAAATTAAATATTGAAGCCTTTTTTGAGGATCAGTTTGAATACTTTTAAGTGCTCTTTTTTTAAAGATGTTTTCCCAGATCTGGATTTCCTAGTCTGAAGCAAAGTTAAAATCTTTTCCTTGTATTTTGACTGGTAAGCCTTTTGTTTCCTTGCTCTACCTGATGTTGCTTTGGCTGTGGGAATTGTTAAAAATGTCAGGCTTTTTTCTTCTTTTTTTTTTCTTTTTTTTTACCCTTTATTGCATAAATTGGATGCAGGTTGGAAACAAAGCTGGGTGACGATCTGTTAGCCATAGTTGTAAATAGTTATTAAACTCTATGAAGTAACCGTAGAGTTTTGGGAAAAACATTGTAGAGCAAGTTCATGTTCAACAAAACACAAAAAGAGAATTCAGTTGCGGCTGCTTCCCTTATCTGGGAGTGTATTTACGAAGGAGCAGGAGATGGGAATGAGCAGTATGTGGGTGTTGTGGTGAGTCCAGAGGAGGAAGGTCAATAGAAGAAGATGAAAACAGCCTGAGACAAATGGGAAAAGAGAACTAAACAGGCACAATCTCCTAGGTGGAACCAAGGGTTTTGTCTTCCTTCTTTTATCTTTTTTCCAAAGGTTAAGAGCTGAACTTGCTGTTTGCGTACGTGTGTGTGTGTGTGTATCAGTGCAGATGGGAGGATTGAGGTTTGTGTATGCTGGAGCATGTGATTGTGCTTAGTGCATTTAGGACTGGGGTTTCCCACTGGGACTGCACACAGATAAAAGGAAGAGATTTATCCTGACCACAACTCCTGATTCATGCACGGTTGGATAAATGTGGTAACCCTTCACCCGTCCTCCTCCATTCCATTTTACACACGCACACACACACACACACACACACAAATCAGTAACACACGCGTAATAATTCGAACAGTTGACATAGCGGGCCAGGAATGTCCGTACCTGTTTGTCTTCCATAGTGCTTGGTTAGTGTTTCTGTTTGGATTAATGTGGTGAGCCTGTGTTTATATTAATTAAAGACACAGACTTCTGTGTGTGTGTGTGTGTGTGTGTGCGTGTGTGTGCGTGTGTGTGCGAATGCGCGTGTGTGAGAATGAAGCTCGGACACGTCCCCGCTCAGATTAATTGAATCCTTCAGTAGAGAACACAGCCTCCTTCAGAGAATGCACAAAGTAACGCTGCCCTAATACAATAAACCTGTCAGACCCAGACAAACGACACACACACACACATACAATGCTCACACACAGCTGTCAAACTTGAGAGTGATAGGACTGTGTGTGCGCGTGTGTGTGTGTTTGTGCGAGAACAAGCCTGTCGTGGCATGTTGAAATACCCAAGGCATTAGCTCAGTCATTCAGTCTCCCAGAACCCTCCCTTTAACGCAAACAACAGCCTCCATCCAACAGAGGTCACACACTGCCTGTTTGGCTGCTGGTTGAGTCTCTGCCTGTTCCATTACATAAGCCACATGATATTCTCCTCTCAGGACATCGGGGTGAAGTTCTGAATGTGTAGCAGCATGAAAAGAACATGCGGCGCTGTTTTGCCGTGTCGGCGTAATCCACCCGGCTCTGGACCGGGCGGCGTGCGCTCTTGGCCACCGCAGGGCTGGCCGCCACGTCTGACATCTGTATTTGCTTTAAACTCATCCAGCAGGGTTGACTCAGACAAAATGAGTCGTGTGGAAAGTTTGGTCGACTTCCTTCATTCACAACATGTTTTTTTGATTTCGGGTTACCTTTTTTAAGCCCGTTTCCTGTCAGAAAGCGTGTCGGTGGCTTTGTGTGATCACACATTTTGACTTTCTAGTTCTCCTGTGAGCGCATTGTGCGCGCCAGCCTGTCCGTCGCAGAAGGGTGTCCATTTGCCGGTTTTGAGGTGTGTGCCAAAATCACACCTGCCATCTTCACTGGGGATTTGAGTGCCACAACAAGGCTCAGACACTCCTGAAAGTGTGTTTGTGTCCGACTGTGGCACAGCTTCTGCACTAGATCCAGAGAGCGGGCTGTTGTCTGACCGGCGCAGGTGGATGAATTGGCCCTGGTTTGGCTGGATTTAGGTGGCTCAGATCCCTTTAACTGCTTCAGGTACAGTGTGTGCTGGATTACTGTCACACTCTCCAGGCTTACTGAGCCAGCATTAATGTTATTAGTAACACCCCTGCTTTTCGCATTTCTCATTCACAACAACTCTGCTGTGAATAATTTCAGTAATTGCTAATTTAGAAAAAATAAAGAAAATATGACCAATTTTCAGGCACCTTATTATTATTATTATTTCAGGCACCTTTTTCCAGTTTCTAATATGGCTCTGTCTGTCACCCCATTTTTACCTGTTGTTTTGGTTATACTAAGGGGATTATTTATGGATTATGTGGTTTCTTTTTTTTTTTTTTTTTAAAAAAACATTTGAGAGATTTCGATAACATAAATTCATTCAAAAGTTTTATTTCACAATATTTCTTAATCCAAAATTGTCGCTGTTCCATCTATTGTGGTATGATAAATTACAGTTTCTTAAATTTCCATTTAAAGCTGTAAAAGGTGCCCTATAGCATTGGTTATGGCCAGGATTAGAACTTGTTATTAATATGCTGGAATGTAGGTACAGTTTTGGATTTATCTGGGGGTTTTCAGTTCTGATCTCATCACACTCGTTGGAATTTCTTTAAAAAAAAAAACTTTTCTTCTTACATCTCACTTCTTGATTTTTTTACACAGCGTCCCCATCGATGACATAAGTGACTGTTGATAAAGCTGTTACCAAATATTGGCAAACTAAAGCATCATAAGGCACAGCACAGTGAGCGATCCCTGTCAGGTGACCCAGCTTTCCAGTTTTGTCAGTAGAAAGGTCTTCGTGCCTATTAGATGTGTTTGCATGTGCGCCTGCTCTTCCATTTCCTTGTGTTGATGCAAAAAAGGATAGAGCATTACAGAATAAACATGTCATAGTTTGAACTTGTTATTTTAAAATGAGATGCTTTTGTGTTCTGCTTGAGCTGCCAAATGCAACCAGATTTCTTGGGAATGAGTCACAGAAATAACAAGGAATAACAAGGTCCCAGACACTTTAATTTGTGACACTTTGATCCAGTGTGAGTCTGTGTGGATGCAAATGTGCTTGTGTGCGCAAACCTGCGCATCCTCCCCAGTGCGTCTAATGGCCTTTATTCGGAATTTACAGTCACGATTAATGGTTACCAGTGTCCGCGTGCCAGTTAGCTGTGGCAGAGATGGATAGCACAACAGACTTTTACTGCTTAAATGTTTTTTGCAGAGGATGAAAACCAGAGATCAATAGAGATTTCCCCCCAGCTAACCCTGCTCTGAGTAGTACTGATGGATAACAGATGGGTTCACAGAGTGTGTGTAGGTGTTTGAGTGTGTGTCAGAGATTTTTCTCTCAAATTCAGTGTGCTTTTGCACATGTTCCAGTGTTTTCTTTGGGTTCAGCTGTCTGTCAGTACATCTCTTACTGGCTTGCCATTAAGCTTCTATATTTACATATAATATACAGCGTTTTCTGTGTGACAATTGATCTTTAGCAGGCTATCTTTCCTATGATATCGATGCGTTTTCTCTGAAGGCTCAGAGCGTGTTGGGAGTCAGAGAGCTTGTTTCTTGGCAACTTGCTTATCTCAGTATGGCAAACTAAGTGTCTTGTGAACTGGGAGCCAAAGGCAATGTTTGTTGTGTGTATGTGGTGGTGGTGGGGTAGGGGCGTGGGGGAGTGAGAGAGGAAGGAAGGAAAGGGCTGAGTGAGAGGGAGGGAGGTAATGAAAGAGTAATTCCAAAACATTTAAAGAAACATTTCCCTCTCAGCTAACATTTGAATGTTGTTTCTGGAACAAGGAGCGCAAATGTTTTGCTTCGTTCTACCCCTCCCTCTTTTTTTTTCTTCCTGTAGACTATTCAGGAAGTGAAAAGGGGATTTAGGATTTTATTTATTTAGTTTTTTTCTTCTCTCCATTCCCTGTTCACTGGCACAAAGCGTAACTGTACGCTGTAGGAAGCTGAGTGTGTGTTTGTGCACTCTGTGTTCAGGGGATAAAGGGCCTGTAGGCGGCTGTGATGCTGAGATTGATCCAGACTCTAGTGAGGGATCTGTACCCCTTGCTGTGTGTGTGTGTGTGTGTGTGTGTGCGCGTGCTGTTTGGCCCAGAGAAATGGAAACTGCTGACATCCTACCAGGGCATCAACATCCTTGACAGGTGGTAGTTGTGAACATGCTCTCTGTTCGTTGAGGGGGTTTGTGCAACACACACACGCACCAGGGAACAATTAGAAAGTGAATTATAGGTGAGAAGCATTTGTTAGAACATCACATCGCATGTAGCCTGACGCACACCGAAGTGAAGGATTGGAAAGCTGCTGTAAACGTGTACTTCTGTGTCATTCTGTACTATAATTAACTACAGGAAATGATTACATTGAAAATATTTTACTTCCTGGGCAAGATTTATGATTTGGCTCTCAAAAGAAGTCTTTCCAGTCTCCAACATAATCTGCTTTAGAATTATTATTTTTTTGTTTTTTCAGTTGAAATGTTTTACATGGGTTTAAATAGGTTCCCTAACATGGCACGCACCCTAACATAAGATGTCCCCGTCTTGTGTCGGCAATCTATCATCAAAAGACCCACTTTTTATGTGGCAGCTTGGAGCCTGTGAGAACTCTATTTCCGATGGCATTTGAAATATTTACGGCCTGTAATCACCCCTCTGTTGCAGTTCCCAATAAGGATGTTTGCATAACACTAGCTCAAAAACCTGGCCCACACATTCTCCTTTTGATATGCATCTTTTGTGAAAACCGTAAATAACAAGCCTTTATTCATGCAGATGAATTCCAAATGAATCTGCTTTCATTCGCTTCTTCTTTCGTTTTGTTTGTTGTTTAGTTTTTTCAGACGCCTCCAGTTGTGACTGAAAATCTCAATTAAGGCCATTTGTTGGCTTGCGGTCGCTTAAAGCATTTCCACAATCTCTCCATGCTCCAAACAGATCCCAGATTTGCCACCACAGTGTCCTCTGACAAAATTGCAATTCAAGTAATGCAGCCGTTGTCATACGAGCTGTGATCTCCCGCTTAGAATGTTTTTAATGTTCGCATGCACAGCTAACAGCATATATTCGGTATCACACTCTGCTTATCATGTCAGTTTTACATTCTGTGCACACTGGAATTCACACTGGAGAAAGGACATGGAGATAACCGACCTTGATGGATTTAACCATATGAAATGATACTTCTCTGCTATAAATTGGTCTTAAATTTAGCGGGAATCACAGGAAACGATGGGCTGATAATGCAGTTTCCCACCGTTGGCTCTTTTTCTACCTTATGAGGGCGGCTGATTCTAACCAAACATGTGCGAGTGGCTCCTGCTAATTAAATGAAGCATTTACCAGAGTCCCACTGTAATGGATCGTAGGTTGTATCCTTTCTTTGGTGGTAGAATCCCGTTGCTCTCACCGGTGGTTAATGCAGGTCGGTCAGACCGATGTGTACATTTGTTGCAAGAGTGTGTTCTTTGTGCGCATGTGTTTGCATAGCTCCTGCAGTATCTCTGGCTCAAAGGGCATTCACTTCAAACCCACACCGAAGTGTTTGCACATGTGCTTTCATACACTGCAGCTACAAACACAGAGTTGCCCTCAGCGCACACACGTGCCGCACAAACGCACAGACGCACACGCATGCATGCAAACATGAAGAGACTGTAATAAATCTCTGTCTAATAGGGGTGGGTGTGGAAAGTTCCACCTACACAGTATTTGCAGAGCAGAGAATAAAGGCACAGTGCATTACTGCTGTGTATATGTGTGTGTGTGTGTGTGTGTGTGTGTACACCTCCATGATTAATTGGAAAGCTGCATTTGATATTGATTTAAAATGCTGTGTGTGCGTGTGTGTGTGTATATACAGTCGCTGACGGACTGCGGCTTTAATGTACTGATTTAGATGCAGTGGAAACTCAGCAAGCGCAGCATGTCTTCTAAATTCCCACAGGACTAATACAGAAACACATACACACTCTCACACACGACAGCCTTTCCCCTACACACATGGTTGGTTTGATCAGGGTAATGGCTGCACCACGCGTTCAGTAATGGGCCAGGAGGGTGGTGGTGGTGGAGAGATTGACCCGGGCTGAACATGAAACATTTTCCAACTCTCAGTAGGTTGTGATTGGAATAGGCAGCAGTGGTTCAAAGGTTACAAGTTTGGCCAGATTGCAAACACGAAAGAGGGTGGAGTCCAAATAAAAAAGCAGTTGATTATCGCATCGTGTTCAGATACGGAATTGTTTTATGAGCATTCGCCTGATGGATTCTTCAGAGATGGAGCGGGTTTTAATGGCGATTGGAGTGCATTTATATATATATATATTATCACTATTTTATTTACATTACAATGTGCTCCAGCATTTGCCTCCTCTTTGCCAGATACGCCAAGCAAAATACACTCTTGTTTTTTTATGAGTCTGGATAAATGTTTCAAATGGAGCTGCCCGGTTGACCCACAACTGCAAGGCAAAGTCGACGCAAAGGTCCGATTAGACGCCACACCCCATAACGGTCCCCTTTTTACTGTCCCACGTGGGTCCATTCTTACTGAGAAGATTGTGTTTTGTTTTTTTAAGTCTTGATACATTAACCATTCTGCCCGTCAGAGTTCAGTCTGTCTGTGGTCTGTGTTGTTGAGGTGTAGTGGAAGAATGCTCAGTAATAATACAATTACAATAGACTGCCTCGGCACAGAGACATCAGCACATATTGATTGCGTTCCCTACACTCCAACACGCACATAAAAAAGCATGACCTCGTACAGTATGAAAATCGATCCATGTTGTTTTCCAGCTTGGTTTTGGTGGTTTTCACGGGTGACTGATGGTCTTTGTTCTTTCTGCCAGGCGATGCCTTCCCGACAGGCTCCAGTCCCTTCCTGTCAGGTTATCCCGGACCCTCCCCCCTGACCTCTGACCCCTCATACAGATCTGCCAATCCCAGCGGGCTGCAGATGGCTCAGCTCTGGGCATCACACGCTCACGAAGGTAAATGACCCCTTGCAAACATTCGCCTCTCTCCTCGTGCTCCTTTTTTACCGGCGTACCATTTTTTAAAAACTGTTCTTGCTGTCTGCCCCTGTCCAATACCTCAAATGTTCGTTCTTCTTCTGTTTCTCTACGCTTTCCCTGGTGAGATCCTGTGTCATTTCTATGTCAAAGCTACATGGTCCTAAATGTCTCACCTTCTATGCCCTCAACCCAGTCCTTTAGCTCCACTCCTTATCCTGTACTGTAATCCAGCTACTACTTTCTTTCCTCTCTTAGCTTCTCATTGTGCTTTGTGTCCCATTGTGCGCTTACTCTCTCTGCCTCTCCGAACCCCCTTCCTGCCCCACTTCACCTCATTTTCTCCTGACAAAACTCATGAACATACTCGTAGACACAGTGTCCTCTCATTAGACTCCTCTCATTCTTCAGGCTTGTTCAGTGAACGATTGAATCTCAGTTCTAGTCTCATTCTCTGGTGTCCTTTTGTGACTCCTTATCAAATTTCCCCAGAGTGGAAGGTCAGATAGGAGAGGCATCCCACAGCGTATGCTGGCCATGTAAAGGGACAAGGGCAAACAGATTCCATTTGAGATTTCTTTTCAAACTGATTACATCGCAGTGGCACAAATCTTGTTCCCTGATTTCCAAACACAGCAAATCAGATTGGGTGCATTTTGTTTGTCTCAAGTTTCCTTAATTCAAGGACTTACAAGGCAGACGGCACCAGAAAAAAGTAACGGCTGGAATAAGGGACTTCAAAAAGTGTCTGTAAATCTCCCTCCACACCTCAGTCAATAATTTTACTGTATATTAGAGAAGTAAATACCTTCAATTCCGAGCTCACTATTTGGGGGGAGGTGTAGACTTGAACACTTTCCATCTGATGCTTGGATATCACTAACAAAGCTAAAACCAACATCACTGCTGGATAAAGAGGCCAATGATATCAGCATGTCCAATATGAATGGAATCCTTCACAGCCTTAAAGGGATTCTTAATACTTGGCGGCCAGCTTCAGAAGCAGCTAATGTTTCTTAAAGCTGAAAATGTTTCTGGGCAGCAGCTACAAGTGCTTTACTCACTCGCGCTGCCCTCTTTATATTTCAAGGAATGGCCACCGTGTTCCTTTTTTTACTTTCCTTCAAATTTGGATGTTTCATGATGAAAACTGCAAACAGCAGGATCCTTTTGATGCATACACAGATATTAAACCATATTTACACACAGAGCAATAGTCTTAATACAAATCTAATTTGAAATATTTTTTTCTGAACTGCACACCAGCCACTAAATGGCACTTTCTTGCGTTCTTAACCCGAGTGAAGCCACATCTGCTGTAAGTAAGACTCAAAGTGCAGCAGGTTTTATTGTGTACTCTGGTGGGTTTACAATAAAAGGCATTCAAATGAAACCACGTGGATATGCTGATCTTAGTCACACTATTATGTCCAACTGGAGTTTTTTTCCTCTTTTTATTGTTGCTGCTGCAGGGGGAGAAAATGTATTCATAGTATTCAAGCTTTTGTGGCGAGGAAGAAACCAGAGTAAAGCGCTGTCTTTTAGGGATGTGGAATAAATTACACCTCTGAATGAGCACAAACTTCGCTGTGGTCTGAGACAGTAATTGGACCATACCCTCTAACTTATAAAGGGAAATGTTGACGGAATATCCTACACGCAACTTAAGGAGACATTTTAAATGTTGCTTGATTTGGAACAGCTGGAATAAAGCTGCCCATGTAAACGACTGTTTCGAGGAAGGGGGGAAAAAAAACTCTTGCGGCGGCAGGGACTTTTTCTTTTGTGAAGGGTGCCATGCCAGAAAAAGTTTGGACACTAGTCGTCTATATAAAGATTTGGTCTCTGAGAGCAGCAGCTGGCTGACGGGCAGACTCTGGCTCAACACCCTGGGCTGATTCATGAACACTTGCAGGTGACATGAGGTCAGCTGTAACAGTTCATAGAGAGAGAAAAAAAACAAGCTTAATAAAACCTAATAACTTTTTTTGTTTGGCAGTAAATCTGAAACTTATTTAATAAAGGCTCAGATTTATTTAGCTTAAATCACTGCCAATGTAAAAAGAAAAGCGGCTAATCGGCCTGTAGAGAAACATACTGAAGAAAAATAGCTCCACATTTTCATTTTCCACGAATGATCCCCAGAGACAACATGCGAGAGTGTAAATGAGCAACACTCACTCCCGACTTCTTAGAGATTACCAGGCCGGCCACTTATTAGGAAGCATGTGGGAGCGGCAGCTGCGGATACGGTCCGAAACAAATTCCCTCCACAGTCTCCTGTGTTTGAAAACGGCTCCAGAAGGGGGGTGGAAAGCCTTATATCCCCATCTGGATGGAAAGCAAAGGCTGATCACCTCTAATCTGGACGTGCTCTAGGGCTGATGTAAAATTAGCACTCAAGAAAGACATGTCTTAACCCCTAAAACTCACATCTTTCTACACCACATGAGAAGCTGAACTGGGCCCGTATTGGAGGATTTATTACAAGACTTATTATTGCTCCACAGTGTGATGCGATGATCGAACATCTGGCCCGAGTGCTTCACTCGGATCGTGTTTGAACCCCAAACAGCCAAAGATTTTGAAAAGGCGGGACATTGTCCCGTCAGATTCAGCAGTTTAACATTTGTGAAACAGAATTGCCATAGCAGTCATCTTTTCCTTTGTCTTCAGGCTATCCTCCGCTCCCAAGCAGCTTGTACTCCAGCCCATACCTGTCCCTCGGGCACCTGGAGCCTCCCTCACTCTCCCAGCACCCCCTCTACGACTCTCATAAAGGTCAGTCGCTGTCGCTAATAACAACCATGAACAGAGCGGAGGAATTTACCATACATGATTTCCCCTGTCCTCTGAGGTATAAGGGGAGGTTCGAAGGCATACATATTCATGAGGTACCTGTGTTTGTGTCTGCAGCATGCTGTTAGGCGCTGTTTGTTTCAGCAGTTTGAGCCTACAGAGGCACTTTGTTTATCTCTGTTTTAGAGGGATACTTCCTGTCGTCCTCCTTGAGCCAGTCGCCTCTCCACCCCCTTTCCGCACCGGCGACCAACCCGTCCAGCTCCACCCCCCCCCAGAGGACGTCCCGGGATGGGGGCAGGGACAGACTGTATCGTGGAGACAGGGAGAGGGAACGGGAGCGCTCGCGAGAGGAGCCAAGGCCTCACAGCGTGGTGGACCTGACGCAGGAGGCGAGGAGCGAGGAGGAGCGCAGGACGGGCAGAGACCGCGAGCGGGAAAGAGACAAGGACCGAGACCGGGACGCAGACAGAGTCAGGGATGGTTGGTCCTTCCACCCTCACCAGCAAAAGCCACACTCCCAGCCCTCCGCGGTGGAGCCCAGATCCAGACTGTCACCTCTACAGCCCTCCTTCCCTCCTGGTGGGGGTGGGAGGCTTCACGGATTCGAACCGGACCGAGGGAGTCGCGATGAGGACGGTGGTTCCCGATCCCACCACAATCAGAACTCCAACGCCAATTCCAATAACTCGAACTCTCACTCCGACCGGCAGAGGAGGAACGAGTCTGTGGCCACGTCGGCCGGAACCCTCCATATCTCCTACGTCCTCCCCCCTGCTCTCCAGCCGTCCACCACCGGGCCTCCCCACCTCTCTGCGCCCAGGGAGCCTATCAGAGAGCAGCGAGTCAGCGCACCCACGTACGTGCCTTCTGTGGAGGTCTACGACGAGCGGGCCGGGCCCATCCAGATCGCCTCGCAGGCCCGCGACAACAAACACAGAGACAGAGAACGGGAGCGAGACAGGGAGAGAGAGCGCGAAAGAGACAGAGAGTTTGACAGAGAGAGAGAGAAGGAGAGCTACAGGTTTCATGAGAAACATCTCAGGGAACACCCTCGGCTTTCCCAGTCTGGCGATTTAAGCAATCAAAGAGAGGAGGGTTCTGTCATTTGTTCAAATGGCTCCTACGGTAAACGAGGTCAGGAAACTTCCCTTTGTTCGAGTCAATCACAGTTCAGCCCGGATGCCAGGGACGTCTCCAAACATTCAGTCCGGATTGGCATGGAGCGGACAGGGGCGGAGCCCAAGTGGAATGCCATCAGCCCGTTGGCTAACTATGCCACAAATCACATGGCTGCACTTGCGGCCCAACACGGACACACACTGTCCTCCCCCCACAGTCAGTCCACACACACACAGAAGTCCAGCTCCCCTCACACGTCCCACAGACCCAACAGCTCACAATCCTCCCACAGTCATTCCCCCCAAACGCAGCCCCCCCAGAACGCACACGGGCGTGCAGATGAGGAGGGCAGTCAGAGACGCTACCTGGCCCCATCAGTGCTCTACAGACCTGGTGAGTCACTGGGAGCGTCCACTGGTGGAGAAAGAAACGGAGGGGCGGGTCCAGACTCCACAGAGGTTTCCGCCATGCAGAGTCTGATCAAGTACAGCGGGAACTTTGGCGCCGAAGGGCCCACTTCGTCCCGGCACATCGCGGAGGGGCGAGGGCCTTTCGGCGGCCTGGGTAACATTGGGATGGACCCGGAGAAGGAGAGGGAAAAAGAAAGAGAGCGGGATAAAGACAGGGAAAGGCTGTCGGTGGGGACAGGCGGCTCCGGCGCCATGCGGATGCCTCCTCAGCTGAAGCGGGAGCAGGAGCGGCCGGACAGCGCCCGCTCCTTCGGCCGGGAGGGCGAGGGCGAGGTGCGTCACCCTCCGGTCGGGATTGCCGTCGCCGTGGCCCGGCAGAGAGACAGCGGAAGCAGCAGTAAACAAACCAACGGATCCTCAGACACACAGAGGCCGCTGCTGCAAACAACAATTAAAGGTAATGATGATTTCGACTCAGTCTGCCACAGTTTGGAACCCCTCATTCTTTTAAGGCCTGCGCTGCTGCTGCTGCTGTTCTGTTTCTGTTTCTGTTTCACTGGTTTGCTGGCAGGAGAGCGATGACTGCACAAATAGATCTGTAACCATTTATTACATCTGCGTTTGGACTGTGAACATCCATGACAAATGCTGTTATACACAGTCTGATGAACGTGTTCTGAGGAACCTCCCTGTGAAAATCACTGACATGAATAGAAAGTATTTTTTAGCTTCTGGCAACTGAATTCAAATGGGTTTTTTTGTCTCCAGCTTCTGCTTTCTGCACTCCGCTGTGGTTTCCCTCAGAATTGCACTGCAGGGAACGTACATCCCCTTAACCAAATGAACTAAAAGCAAATTATTCCTCATTTTTGGTTTCCCTCAATAATAAAGGATTCATTTTCTTTGGTATCAAAAGTCCCACTTCCTTTGCGCCCGTTCGACCTTTAAGGTGACGACGCATGTAGCCCGATCTAAATTTTTGGGGGAGAAAAAACAAGGGATTTTTTTTCCTAAAACGACTAATTAGGCGTGCTTTGATAAAAGACTGCTGGTTCTCTGCACTGCAGCAGTGCATCAAGGTCACCCAGTAATAAAGCCCCTGCTCAGTCTCCCTGGTTTCTGCTGCAGTTCCATATGTCATTGAGCTCTTTTATGTCCTCCCACAGTGCAACCTCTCCTTTCCATCTTTAGCTCTTTTCATTTACTTGAATGTCCCTCTGCTTCCCCACCCTTCATGCCTTTCTGGGGACAGCTTTGTAGAGTCCCTCGCTCACTGTCCCACCTCAGGCCCCCTTCTCTTTTTATACTCTTTTTCTCCAGCTCCACCCACCCCACACTCCCACATCCAACCTCTCTGCATTAAACATGTCATTACTAAAAAGCTACAAACAAGCCTTTGAATCACAATAAGACAATCAGCCTGTTGCTAAGCAATGAATCAATCTTGTGTGTGTGTGTGTGTGTGTGTGTGTGTGTGTGTGTGTGTGTGTGT